GGCTGAAGCTGTAACGGTTTGACTTGGGGACGGAATGAAGCACCACAGGGAATCCGCGTATTTCCCCTTATATTTTTCTCACCTGGGAAAAAAGGAAACTCCAGCTCCCGTAGAACTGGTACAACTGTTGGCATGATGTTCTTTTTTAACGCATTCAAGTCTAATTATACTTCTGAAAAGCATTTCTTTATTGTTTTAGCTTTCGGCAGTGTTCCCTAATCTCTCCCCCGCACACACCAGCTTGGGAAGCCATAGGAAGTGGTCCGCACAGCTTTTTTTAATGGTCCATCTGCCGTTTGTGATAATAACATGTGGGAGCCCACAGAAATTTGGGGGATTGACAGTAGTGTCTTGCTTGAAACTGGAGGGCTTGCTGATGTGATACAGCTTTAGGGACGTTGCCCTGATGGCCTGGGGTGACTGTAGCACTCCTTGCCTCCTGGGACAGTGCTTTTTCCTTAATGTTTGTAACATTTTTGAGGAAACTATTTAACAAAGTGTGTATCTCTTTAAATTTTAACCAAAGTCATTCTTCCCACTTATCTCCCCCCAGTTACTAATATTCTTTGCTTGCAAGAAAAGATACGAGGTGCACACAATGAGGAAATGCTAGCTGGAAATGAAGTTACATGATCAAAAGTCATAATTCATTATGATAGAGATTTAGAGAACATTTAAGTGCAGTAGGACTCTGCTGTTTGACCTTGTAATAAATTTTCAAGACCAAACTGAGAGTGGATTTTCATGATTCAAAGTGTATTGAACATAGTGTGCTAGCAGAATGATATCGCTAATGTCATATCTACAGGCAACTATGGGAGTTACGCTTCTGCTAGTGAGACCTTCCTTCTTGGCTTGGAAATACGTCTACAGCAGGGATTCAGAAGCTGGGTTAGCCGACACATCAGCCGATCAGATGAAGTGCAGGAGCTCTGAGTACCAGCAGAAACACCCGTGAGTACCAATCAATTGCAACGGTGGCAGCCGTGCCTGTGCACAGAAAGCGGACCTGCAGCTCCCCACCTGCCACAGCCAGGGACCCAGCCTTCCCCCCTCATCCACCCCCTGCTCGTCATCATGTGGGCAGTGGTACCTGCCCGCAGTCAGGAGTAATGCCACAGGTCACGTACCAGTGATGGGTATTCCATTGCTGGGAAATGTGTGTCCTATGGAATTCATAATCAGCAGGTGGTGTGTGTCTCCCTGTAGCTGCAATTAACCAGCATATATGGCTTTCCTCTGCCTAGATACTAACTTTAGGCATTGTCCTTCCTAGATGCTTTTAATGCCGTTGAGCAGTTGGTAGTGGCTCCCACACCTAATTGGATTATAATATTATTGAGCTGTATGTTTTCCATTTTTAAATATTTCTGTGGCTGTCTTAAAATGGAAAAAATAGGATTTTTTTTTTTTTTAATAAGGAATTCTGACTTTTTAAATGAAAAATCATTTTCTCTGTGGAAATCATTGAAGTCATCAGCAATGTTTCAGTGGATTGTTACTTCAAGGTCTTTAAGCACCTGAAGATGCGTGTGTGTATTTCACTGGACTTGCAAATGTGCCTGACTGTCACTGATTTATTTCTTTTTGATGAGTATCTGTTACATGAAATGTGGATACCTCTGAAAACCTTCCTTCTAATGTCTCTGTTCCTTATGCCCTGCATCTCAGGGTTTTATTAACCTGTTCTGAAATGGCTTCAGCTGTTTCTGGCTTCCACTGGTGGGAAATGCTGTTTGCCCACTAGATGGCATTCTGAAATCTGTACCGAGGATGGTACTCCAACAGGAGTGGAGATCAGTCTTGGTTTCTTTGTATAACACGTTAAAACTAAATGCGTAGTAGGTAACATCACTATTTGATCAATGTTACCAATCATAAGAATTTTCTTATTAAAGAACATTGTTAGAGTTGTATAAAGTAGTTGGAAACCATGGGAAAGATTAAGTTTAAGATTGTTTCAAGATTCAGCTGTAATCATTAACTCTGTTCTTGCACAGATTTCTTCCTTCTGATCATCTGGGTAAATTTGTTTTGCGTTGTGGTGGAATGTAATTAAGTCTAACTTTTTGTTCTTGTTTTGGGTTTACATGGGAAGGATGCTGTTGTTTTGGAACAAAATCTGCCTGGGGACCGTCTGTGTCTCCATTAAGACAAAGTATGACATTGGTTTAGGCAGTGAAGTAATGAAAGATGTTCTTGAAAAAACAAATGAGCACTTTGCTTTTTTAAAAATCCTGACACTGGCAAATTGTAGCTTTAAGCAGAACACTGCATACAACGAAACTGTCACTGAAGCTTCATATTCACTTTACGTATGTCATAGTTGCTTCCCCAAAAGTGAATCGGGCCACCAATTTCTGTCAAAACAATTCAAGTTTTTGTTAAGTGCCTAAATCGGCATTGTGCTGACTGCATCTTGTCTGAATCCTCATTCAGAAGCTGTTGGGAACAAAATCAGAGGAACAATGGCTCCATGACCCAAAAGCGAAAGTTCTCCTGATAATAGAAATATTAATGCTGTTACCTTTGTAATTTACGAAGCATGTTTCTTACCAAATTTCTTTCTAAAACACAGAAGCATATGTGATAAATATTCTGGAAATACACAGATTATCTTTACTGCTCTCGCTTTTTCTCTAAATCTCTAAGCTGGACCAAGCTGAAAATTTTAAATGAGGGCAGTGGTATTTCCCAGCAGGATTTGTTGTCTATTATATTGTTGTCACTTATCTGTGTGAAGTACAGACTCCAGAACACACTTGTGTCGGATTGGAAGGTAGAATCTCCAAGGCAGGTGAATTACAGTAAATAAGTCTGCTCTTTAGCAAAGTTTTATTTGTCATCTTCTGTGCTAATATGAATCTTAATGTCCCAAGGTCTAAGAATGGTTTTCATTAATAAGACTATCTTCCAAAAAAAATCCCCAAAACCCTCTAATGAGTCCGTAACTTCTCACTAGCGTTTTTTCAGTTGGTTAATTTGTGTCATGTCTTCCTTTAGGTGTCAAAATCCTAAAAGAATCCCTAATGTGCAGAAGGGGAAAATCCTGTAAGACAGCACAGACAGGGAGCAACCTCAGGTAGGTCAAGAACAGAACCAGAAAGCTGATGTGGTGGCTCTTTTAGTCACTGTAACAGCACCAGGAATAGGTGCCCTAGGACTGAAGAGCTATGAGTCCTTGTAGCTCCAGTAGCAAAAAGCAATACAGTGATAAGGAGTTGTTCTGGCCTGGTAACGGTTCCTTTTCTCCCGTGTGTCTCCAACAGGTCAGTGCAGGAATACCTAGGATGTAACTGATGTCTGGACTGCGTGTGGGGTGGGAGGAGTTAGGCATTCCTAAGGTGGATGCCAGAGATAATGTAGCTGTACTTATGTAGCCAACAGTCTTGAACATCTTGATTGGTCATTGGTTAGTAACTTTCTGAACATGTGTTTATTTCTCTCTCTCCCTCTTTTTATTTATGCATTCCATCGAATTAATATATTACAGAATCTTGTGTAGCAGTTCTTTCCAACTATATTTGCTGTGTTTCTTCATGTTGCGTACAGTGACCTTTCTGTCAGATTCTGATTACACTTGCCCAGCTATGTCTACCTATACCCTTGGGAACGCACAGAGATTGTTTCTGCGAGTAAGACTTAACAGTATTGAAAATTCTGTATTGCTTTGAGCTACCGTTCTTTCTTGGCATAGCTCTGCTGAAAAGATTACAAGCTCTTACAGCTTGCTGGTTTATACAGTCCTTCTAATCTAGTTCAAAAGCTCTTGATAACTGTTTTTAGCTTGCAAAACCTGTGGAAAAAACTCTCTTGAGATTAATACATTGTGTGTGAACAGACCAAACAGGACCATTTTTGCTGTCATCTAG